CCCAGCACACACCCGGGCACACACCCACAGTCGAGACGCAGCAGGGTCGCCTGTCTCCTGTCTGCAGGCAGGACACAGGCAGAGGCCAGAGCGGGGCAGCCTGGCGGGTGGGGTAGCCATGTGGCAGGGCCGCAGCCCCAGACAAACGTGTATACTCAGAGCTGAGCCCCCCCGGTGGGAACTGGGGAGAGATGAGAGCCTTTCTCTCTGACACCAAGGGACCCCAAGGGCGGCCCAGCACCAGCAGCATGTCCTGTGATGTCAGGGTAGAGTCAGGACACTGGCTGGGCACTGAAGCCCCGCCCCAAATGCCCACAGCCTGGGGTGAATGAGTAGGGGCTGGGGGAGGGGAGGGGGTTCTGGCAGTGGAGGCCCGAGTCCAGCACTCACACATGTGCGGGCCCTAAGGCTGGCACCACCTGCCCTGGGCCCGCAGGGGCAGTAGGCTCCTGGGGGTGCTCTGCCAGCCCTGTGGTTTCTCTCAGAAGCACAGGCCCTTCCAAGGAATTGGGCACTCCCCCTCTGCCTCCCATGACGCATGTAGGGGCGCAGGGGCCCTGTCTCCCCCGGGCTCACGTTCAGGCCCTCTGGGGCCCTGTCTCTGCCCCATGCAGCAGCCTCTCTGGGTCTCCCAAATGAGCCTGGATGTCTCTCTGAGGGCACCAGTCCTGACAGAGGCCACCTTCACGCAGCCTTCCTGCGGGGACTTGGGCCACAGGGTGGGATCCTGACCTCTCTCTCTCTCTCTCTCTCCAAGACAGTGCAGTGTCTCCCAGGAGCCCACTCTGACCAGCTAGGCTGGCAGGCTCCCACGGCCTCCCTTACTTGTGCGCTCAGGGTGCCTTCGGGGTTTTGGGGACACACGGCCTGCAGGAAACGACCACAGGGTGAAGGTAAAGCCCAGACCCAGCCTGTCACGGCCCCGCACACATCAGTGCTGTGTCAGCAGTGGGCCAGCTGCCCCAACAGCCCAGAATCAGAGGCCACCAAAGCCACGCTGTGGTCTCACATCCTCAGTGGGCACCGCAGAACAGATCCACGGCACAGTCCACCCCAGGCTCCAGAGGCTGCAGAGGTCTTGCAGAGCCACCGGCCAACCTCACAGCCATGTCCAGCCTCCACCCCAGGTCCCCGCTGGTCCTCAGGGGCCATGCCCAGCAAGTGCCTCCCCAGGAAGAGCCCAGCTGCAGGACAGTAGCATGGAGCAAGCGTGCGGGCAATGCGGGAGGTCACCTGCCAGCAGGGAGCCCACGGCGGCCAGTGGGGGACCAGGGCCTGCTGTCCCCAGATGGACATGGCCCCCGATCACTCCCCCCCGGAGCTTCTCCCACCGGACCAGCCCCCAGCCCTCTCCTCCGAGCCATGGGACACAGGAACAAGGGTGGCACGCCACCGGGAAGCCCTGCATCCACGCCTCGGGCACGTGGCCACGCGGGCCTCAACTGCTCGAGCACAGAACGGGCGACCCTTTCCTTGAAGGTCTGCCTCTAGAGCAGCGGTGCTGGCGCCCAGCGCTCCCCACTTCCTGGGGCCTCACGGCGCCCACCAGAGGGTTGCCGCACAGCAAGTCCACATCTCCCACATCGAGGAAGACAGGCCACTAGCTGGGCAGCAGGGGCTGTGGAGAGGAGCACGCTTCTTCCATGGCGCAGGGGCCTCACCAGCGACCCCGACGGTGCGAGACGGACTTCCCAAGAACATAAAGGGAACTTCCAGGCTGCTGAGGCCCCTGGGGGTTCCCACCCCATTTTTAGCCAGAGCACTGAGGCAGAGCTCTCCTCCCCCCAGGCCCTATTGTCTGATCGCAAATGTAACACCCACGGTTACTAATGATTCGCCTCATCTGTCCGGGAGCCCGTCCAGGAAGCTGCCGAGGCCAGGACGGGCCCCTGACGCAGGAGCGGCCGCCTCAGGTATCCCAGCCGCTGGCACTGGCCCAAACGCAGCAACGGCAGGCGGGTCCGGGCCACTGCCCACCCAGCAGGGACAGAGCCTCCCGACCGCTGCTCGTCTGCCAGCCATCCCTTCTCTGCACAGGGACACACGGGAGCCAGAGACTGCCCAGGACCAACTCGAGGAAGACAAGGGGCTGAGAACCTCAGGCACAACGGGCCTAGGGCAGCACCCAAGCCTGACAGGGTCAAGGACCACGCAGAGGGCGTGGACAGTGGCCTGGGTGTGGATCTTCCTGCAACGAACCAGGGCAGTGACCGCTAGCCCAGGGTCCAGGGAGAGCAACAGGGAGCTGTGTCCATGCTGGATCAGGTGGTGGGCAGGCCTTCCCACGTCCACACATATGTGAGCTGGGCGGCCTGAGCCAGCCTGAATAAGGTGGGCCAGGCTAGCTGGGCCAGGCCCAGCGCAGCTTGAGTGGTCGGAGTTACGTGGAAAGGGTCCAACTATCCCAGTCTCGGCCGGGCCAGACTGGTCCCTCTGGCTCCGCTCACCTGTGTGGCACTGAGTGGACTGAGATGGGCCAGGCTGGGCTGATTTTGCAGGAGTAGGTGGGCTGGGGGAAGCTGGGGAGAGCTAACCTGGGCTGACCTTGGTGCGCAAGTACCACAGGCAGGGGTTTGGGGGGCGACCCTGCCCTTGCACAGGACAGGCTTGGCCAGGCTAGGCACTTGTGGTTGAGCTGGGCTATCCTGAGCCAAGGGGATCTGACCAAGCTTGGGGCGGG